CCATGGCGTCACAGCTCACAGCAACCTCCAACTCCTGGGCTTAGGTGATTCTCTTGCCTCAGCCTCCCTAGTAGCTGGGACCACAGGTGCCCACCACAATGCCCAGCTATTTTTTGTTGCAGTTTGGCCAGGGCCAGTTTTGAACCCACCACCCTCAGTATATGGGGCTGGCACCCTAGTCACTGAGCCACAGGCACTGCCAGTTCGCTTACTTTTATGGTAAGTGTATGGAACTTTTACAGAACAATATTTACTTGATAGTACATAATAAATTGGTTTGCCAAGAGAAAAAAGATACCTTGGTATTAAATGTCAGACATACTGCAAATCAATATAACTTAATTATTAAACAATAATGCTCTTGCAAACAGACATGGAAATACTCAGGTTTATTCTTTAATATTTTATTCTATTTGATGGCTTCTATGGTTGTAAATTACCGCAATGCTTCTCTTTTATATTATGTGCCATTCTGCTGGTTCCTGAAAAAAAATTTTTTTTTTTTTTGCAGTTTTTGGCTAGGGTGGGTTTGAACCCGCCACCTCCAGTATATGGGGCTGGTGCCCTACTCCTTTGAGCCACAGGTGCCACTGGGTTCCTGAAATTTTAAAACCCCATATTCCCTATTAGTACTGCCTCTAAATACAGACAAGAAAACAGGCTTCTAATTGAAAAAGGAATGTTTTATGGTTATAAACTCTTACTTGTGGAAACTTTGCCAGTCTCAAGCTGTCACCCTGGGTAGAGTGCCATGGCATCACAGCTCACAGCAACCTCAAACTCTTGGGGTTAAGCGATTCTCTTGCCTCAGCCTCCCAAGTAGCTGGGACTACGGGCGCCCAGAACACCACCAGGCTATTTTTTGTTTGGTTGTAGTTGTCATTGTTGTTTGGCAGGCCTGGGCTGGATTTGAACCCTCCAGCTCCAGTGTATGTGGCTGGTGCCCTAGCCGCTAAGCTACAGGCGCCAAGCCATTGTGGAAACATTTTCAATTTCTTGTTTTCCCCCAAATTGGAATTTAGAAGTTTAACAATTTTTTTTTCTTTTTTATTGAGATAGGGTCTCACTTCGTCACCCTTGGTAGAGTGCCGTGGTCGAACTCTTGGGCTCAAGCGATTCTCTTGCCTCAGCCTCCCTAGTAGCTGGGACTACAGGTGCTTGTCACAATACCCGGCTTTTTTTTTTTTTTAGCAGGCCTGAGCCCGGTTCGAATCTACCAGCCCCAGAGAATGTGGCCTGTGCCCCATGGAAATTTAACAATTAATACCTGAATTATTGTGACTATACATAGTGTGTGGCCCTAAACCCAGAGATGGATTCCAATAATTCTCAAGAGACTGGAAGCAAACCATTAAGTACAAAGTTTCTTGTAAAAATAAACTAAACATGGACAGCGCCTAGGGCTCAAAGGAGTAGGGCGCTGGCCCCATCCATATACCAGAGGTGGTGGTCAAGCCCAGCCCTGGCCAAAGATAGCAAAAAAACTAAATATGTCTTCATCCCTAGACTTTCTTTTTTTCTTTTTTAAGAGACAGAGTCTTACTTTGTCGCCCTTGGTAGAGTACCATGGCGTCACAGCTCACAGCAACCTCAAGTAGCTAGGACTATAGGCGCCCGCCATAATGCCTAAGCTATTTTTTTTGTTGTTGTTGTTGTTGCAATTTGGCAGGGGCCGGATTTGAACCCGCTTCCCTTGGTATATGAGGCCGGCGCCCTACTCACTGAACCACAGGCACCGCCCCATCCCTAGGCTTAACTAAAAACAAACGGTGAAGAGAGATGTAAGATCCCCCAAATCAGATACAAGTGTCTGAGTATCGTAAGCTCAGATAACTCCATTATAGCATAGAAAACTTAAGTATAGGGCTGCTTCTACTGCACAGCACAGTAACACCTCCCGTATCTGATGTTCCTTTTGCAAGCTCATTTTATCTCCTATACAGTTAAGAAAGCACAGTAGCACCTCCCTTATCTGATGTCCCTTTTGCAAGCTCAGATTATCTCATATACAGTTAAGAACTAGCTTTTCTTACTTTTATTTATTTTTGCAGTTTTTGGCCGTGGCTGGGTTTGAACCCACCACCTCCAGCATATGGGGCTAGTGCCCTACTCCTTTGAGCCACAGGTGCCGCCCTACTTTTATTTTTTTTGAGACAGAGTCTCCCTCTGTGTCCTGGATAGAGTGCCGTAGCGTCACAGCTCATAGCAACCTCAAACTCCTGGGCTCTAGATCCTCTTGCCTCAGCCTCCCAGGTACTGGTGCCTGTTACAACACCTAGTTTTGTTTTTCTTTTTTTTTGAAATGGGGTCTCGCTTTTGCTCAGTCTGGCTTCAAACTCCTGAGCTTAAGCAACCCACCGCCTCAGTCTCCCAGAATGCTATGATTATAGGTGGGAGCCACCACTGTGCCCAGTGGTTACTTTATATTTTTCCCTGACAACTTTCCACTCTTCCTACCACACTATAAATTAGCACACTAGAAACAAAAGAAGGGACGCTGGGAACAAACAGTTGTTAAGAAAAGCCAAGAAAAAGACGACTCCAGAAAAGACACAGATCTGCAGATATTTATGATACGGGAAAAATAATTTGTGGTAGGGCGGTGCCTGTGGCTCAAAGGAGTAGGGT